CCCCCCCTGGCCAACCCCGAACCCCCTAAAAATTTGGTAAAACATCCCTCTAAGAAGTCTCTCAATTTTTTTTTCTTTAGTTCCCTTCTTGCTGCATACCACCTCTCGGGGTTCCACACCCCTTCATTGAGGCAGGCCCTTGGGATTGTATTGGGCCATGCCTGCGCGAGGGGGGAATCGCGCAGGGCCAGCAGTTCCGTCCTGGGGTACATTCCGGTCCTCAACAGGAAGTCCAGCAGCAGAGGAGGGGGGGGGGGAAAGTCCTCATGATGGTTAATCTAGATCAGGGGCCTGAGGTGGATGAAAAGAGTAGCAGCAGCAGTTTGTCGTTGTCCTTATGGGGGGGGGGAATGGTAAAGTCAGCCAGGCCCCAACCATACGAACCCCCAGGCCCACGTCGGGCCCTCGCCACGTCCACAGAAGCCGGCCGCAAGATCTTCTGGTGGAGGGCTTCGGACTAAAATCAGCCCCCGGCCCTCAGCTTCCGCGAGGCGCGGGCACAGGCATACGCGCCCGTCGGGCACTCACCGGCTCCCGCCGAGCCCGGGTACACTCCACCGGGCCCTGATCCTCCGCCAGGCCGAGCCCTTCGGGATAGATCCTCCGCCAGGCCGAGCCCTTCGGGATAGATCCTCCGCCGGGCCGAAACCTTCGGGCCGGATCCTCCGCCAGGCCGCGTCCTTCGGGCCGGATCCTCCGCCGGGCCGCGTCCTTCGCCCGGGCCACTGGGCCGCATCCCTCGCCGGGCCGCTGGGCCGCATCCTTCGCCTAGGCCGCTGGGACAGGCCGCCAGGCCGCATCCTTCGCCTGGGCCGCTGGGCCGGGCCGCATCCCCCGCTGGGCCGCATCCCCCGTTGGGCCGCGTCCTTCGCCTGGGCCGCTGGGCCGCATCCCCCGCCCAATCAAGACCTCGCCGAGCCGGGTCCTCCGCCCGTGACTCCACCCAGCCGAAAACCAGCCGAAAACCAGGGGGTCGCACGACAAGCTGCCGGCAAGCTCAGCTCCCCGAATTTAGGGTCGCGGGAAAGCCCCGACCCTCTAGAGGCCCCCCATCTCCGCTGAGGACTCCGCTTCGTCACGGAGCTAACCCCGGTAGGTCCGCCATTGCAGCTGTTAAAAGGTTATTTACATACTGGCATTTCATTCTGCTCAAGGTTACCAAAAGCTCAGCCTCCTGCACTTTATACCAGAGGTCTTCAAACTTGGCCCTTTTATGACTTGTGGACTTCAACTCCCAGAATTCCTCAGCCAGCATACCTGGCTGAGGAATTCTGGGAGTTGAAGTCCACAAGTTCAAATTTTCACTTAGCCATAAAGGTTTTATTTTAAACCTCATATATTCATCAAAATCACAAGATTGTTATGAAAACAACATGGGAGAGTGAGAGAACAGGTATTTCACCTTGTGGTTCTGAAAGAAAAATAGTAAATGCAGTAATAGTTACTTAACTTTTTAATTTAAATTGAACCAATAATGCCATCTATGCTTATCATTCTTCAACAGTGGACAGCCATGTAGTTCTGGAGAACTGATATGAAAACAATACAGAAGCCTGGGGGTTTTGAAGAGCATCTGAATACAAACTTTCAACTAAGAATTGTATTAATAATCTCTGACAGGCTGTTCTAATCTATATTCAAAGCTATCAAAAGGTAGCAGTTACTATCAAAACACATTGTAATAATGGATTTATAGCATGAAGCAGCATTTCTTTGCACCTCTTAATAGTCTATCAATCCATTTCATTTTATTTTCTGCTTCTATTACAGGGCTTTTCAATCTTTTTCACCCATTGTACCACTTTTAGGGTATGGCACTATCCGAGTACCACCAGTTGCCTAGCAAGGTGTCAAAAACTTGATGACCCCAAAAAAAAGGGAAATAATTGATAAAGTACAGGTAGTCCTCGACTTACAACAGTTCGAAGTTACAATGGCACTGAAAAAAGTGCCCCCCAAGCCACAGCCGAGCAAGACACCTGCCTGCCCGGCGGTGCTCTTCCTCCTGTCCGAGGTTTTCATTGTGAGCATTTCTGTTGAGGATTGGCAGGGGGGGTGGGGTGGGGGGGTGTTTGGTTTTTATTCCCCCGTCTGCTGGGTGGTTGCAGCAGGTTTTGGTCACTTCACATGACCCTGGGACACTGTGACCGTTATAAATATGAATCAGTTGCCAAGCATCTGAATGTAAATCACAAGACCCTGGAGATGCTGCAACATTCCAGCTGATCAGCGCTTCTTCTGGGCTCACCAGAAGTGCCAGGATCAGT